GCCCATGGCAGGGGGGTTGGAACTGGATGATCTTTGAGGTCTCTTCCAACCTAAACCATTCCATGATTCTATGAAACAGGGTTTGTCAACCTCGGTCTGGCACCATGTGTAGATGTGGTGCTTAGGGATATGGTTTAGTGGTGGACTTGGCAGTTGAGTCCAACATTGGACTCAATGATCTTCAAGGTCTCTTCCAACCTAAATGACTATGATTCTAAAACCATTCATATGTCTATACCATGCACTCCCCAAAGACCTTCGCTTCGCTGCAGAAGACCTTCGCCATGTGTGAGACAGGATGAATACAGAGCTAGCCTGAGTTAATGGCTGTGCTCCAGTTGTGAAGCTCTTCCAGACTCAAAGCCCCAGGAGGGCCTACAAGGCTACCCAAAGTCGGTATATGCCCATAATCCATTTCTGCAGGACCCAAGCTTGCTTTGTGAGGAGCCACTGAAACACCTCCACACCCTGTTCCTCAACCCCACTCTGGGATTCTTACTAAATCGTTTTCTGAAGTACTCCAGTGCCTTGTCTTTCCAGTAATGGAGCGCTGACAGTCATTTTATATTCCCAACAGCTGTCTTAAAGCTTGAATACAAAGCTTTACCTCAAAACTATCCCCTTAGATACAGAAATCATCTTGTAATGTATCCAGATTCCTAATACCTCTCTGAAGGTTACTTTTGCATCAGAACCACATTATAGAAATAACACCAGCCTAATAACATCCTGTGGGAAAAAAATTCACATCAGTTCTGAATTTTCCACATTTCAGATGCATTGAGTATCCTCCTGTTTCATGTTATAAGCCTGAGCAATACTAAGCATATTCAAATTACTTTCCCCAACATCAATTTCTAGAGCACAATAACTATTCAAAATGCAGTAAAATCACAATTGTGTCAAAAGACAAGACTGAAAACCACTCACTCTAATTGCTGGCTGAGACCAAGTTTGTGTGGTTGTATCGAAAACATGAACATCATTATGCCATCCCCAGAATATCTGTCCTTCCTAAAAAAGAAGTGAAAAAATTAAAAATGTTTATTCAATTTTAAAATGTTTGTGCTTATTAAAGGATACAAACCCAGAAGTGAACAATCAAAACAGAAAACTAACTAAAATACAGAATTTTATTAAAAGAAACACATGCTAATATTGTTAATAATGATGCATCGGTGCAGGTCTAGTTGAAGGTCAACAGCATTCAGGAACGTTCAGGCTGATGGCACTTTTGAAAACAGCCTTTGGGCTCCAACGTCAGAGACTGCAGTAGATAAATTCTACCTTTTAATTCCAAGTGTGCCATACTGAGAAATAAATAGATTGTACAAAGGAATACGTTTGTGTAAGTCAATATTTAACATCGGATGTAAAGATCTATACTCCTTTGAATGCACATCTATTTCTTATTAATTCCTATCCCTAAGCACTCTGATCCGTCTCCTTTCTGTTAGCTGTAAGAAATCATTATAGGGAACCACCTAATCCAGGCATCTTAAAGTTATCCATTTACTCTGGATAACAAATTAAAGAAGTTGACTGGAAGTATTTGGCAGTTAGACTTGTGCAGCTATAAATTCCACATCATTCCTTCAAGGAAATAAATTCTAAAATTTTCAGGGAGCTTCACGTTTAGAATAAGTCTTCAGATTTCAAATTCTGCCTTTATTTCTGCTCCGACAGCATTTTGTTTCATTGCACTTGAAGCCTATCGCTGGGTACGTGGAATGCAGCGAACACCCACCGCTCCCAACGTGCAATGTCTGAAATTTCAAATCTAAGCAGAAGATTCTAATTTGCCTTTCTGCCGATGCAACAAATGGAAGAAAAATCAGACAGATGTTCATACTTACTGAGTAAAAGTACACTTTTACTACACTCATACTTACTGAGTATAAAAGATCACGTTTTGACAATCAGAAAGGACAAATCACTCTGAATTGTGACAAATCTCTTACCCAAAATGCATCATGGACATCAAAACAATCGCTCAGTTCATTATGCTTCCTACAGCCATAGCCACCAAAATATATTAGCCTAAAGGAACAACAACAAAAAGTAAGTTCAGTTGCCTGTTTTGCCAATAACATTCAAATGAAGAAGCTGTAATAACTCATTTCAAATTTTCGGTTACCTACTGTACTACTGATAATAGAAACAACTTAAAATATTTCACATTGCACCTAATTACACAGCAAAGCTTACCGAGATGAAGGTAATAGTTACACTCCTCAACAAGCCTGACAGAAATCCTCAAAAAAAAGGAAGGGAGGTTTGAGGTACCTCTGAGTCCCTATTCCTGAGTTCTCTATTCCTCCATCCACATGCTTCTCTATCACAGTCACATTTGCAGCCACGAGTCTCAAATGACACACGACACACCAGACAGTGAAACGTCTATGCTTCTGCTAGAATTCCTACCCTTTGCCGCTAGAATTCCTATGCTCCTGCTATATTTGCTAGCCTTCTATACACATCTTTTCACAAAAAAAAGGATGTAGATCATGTATACCCCGAGGCTCAGCCCACAGACTGCCTGTGACCCACGAAATCCTGCTCCAGCTTATAGATTCTTTCCACTAAGCACCACTGAACATATTGCACAGCAAGTACTGTTACACACCTCCCAGCCTAATATTCCACCCATGAAATGGCCATCCATAAGTAATGGTTCCTAAAGTTTTGGTTAACTTCAACATTTGAGGATATTTGGTATAGTTGTTAGTGATCTCGGGAGAAGGCAATTTAGGAAATGATGGGATGGTGAAGGTCATTCCAGACTGACATTCCTAGGGAAACAGAGTTACTGAAAGCATTGTGCAATACACCAAGACATCCTGAGCTGCAAATTCTCATCCTGTGAAATTTTAAGGCATGCTTCCGAAAAGGTGCATAGCTTGTCCCCAGATGCTTTTGTCAAATGAAAAGGTTACGCTCTGCCACCTAAAATAGATAATTCTTCTCAGTATGTGGATTAGATGATACTCTGAACAGATTCATTTAGTTTTGAATAATCTGGTGTTAACAGCTACGGAGAAGTCGTTCAAATAGATGTGATTCCATATATCCTGCAGCTAAAGCAGAATTACAAAACCAAGATACAGCACTGAGAGGCATTACACAGTTTATGCAAAACCCTTTAGATGCAGGGTTTGGAAACAAATCATTTACATTTCATAGTGTTCTTACTTCTTTACAGTTTCTTTTATAACAAATCACTGACACGTCACTTTCTGGTGACCAGATATGCCACAATATCCAAACGCTTTCCATAATAAACACAAAATGTGAAGTAAAGCATTTATTTTTAGCTAAGTAATTTTTCTAAATACACTCAGCAGCTTTTACAACACAAATATCTAGGCTGACTTGGTTCTTATAAAGATGCTCACTGAAATGTCTTTGCAATTGTCAGTATATGTACACTACTGAAATTCTTGCAAATATACTAAATATATTTTACTGCAGGTAATAATTTAATGCTCACATAACGCAACAAAAAAAAATCAATGTAATTTTTATACTGTTTTTTAACACATGTTAAAATTAAACCCATAAGTATTAGATGGATATAAAGTCTCAAAGCATTCCAGAAACTTCCAAACTAGATTTCCCAATTCTCTCCTAAAGTGGGTTTATACTTACCGTTAATTCAGCTCACACGTGAGAAAGCTCTGGTAGAAAGTTGTTAGGAGAGTTACACAAAATCCCATAGCAAGTCAAGCTAAGAATTAGTTTCCTGAATCCCAAACCTGTGTGCTCTTCACTTTATAGCACTTCCTCTCTGCAATTAACACATATTAAATATTCTTAATGTGTTACCTGTCCTTATACACCCAGCAGGAAAGCTTGTCACGTGGTGTAGGAGGTTGACCTTTAAAATTTGTAATTTTTTTCCACCTATAGGTTCCATTTTTTGTTCGCAAATTAACATAATACAGCTTAAAAGAAAAAAATTACAATATTTTCAGTATAAATGATGTTGAAGAATCCAGCACAAATCCCGAGCAAAAAGAACAGCCCCCCCCCTCCCAGGATACACTACTTCCTTTTTTTTAAAAAAAAAAAAAAAAAAGGAACTGACAGTGACTTTTACAATATGTAGCAACATACTTGGAAGAACCTGACACACAAGAAGAACACAAAAGGTGTGAGAATTAGCAGCACGTTTCCTTGCCTTCACTCAGCCAGACCAGAATAGTCTTATCCTTCTCCTTCCAGAGCCAAGTGAAGCCTTGCAAAAAGCTTCTGCAAGACAAACAGCTCCCAGTTCAATGCTACCAGCAGAACTGCCAGTAGTTCTGCCTAACCTAAGTAGGTAACTGCACAAAAATCAACATGGCTGGTGAACCGAGTGCTGAGCTAAGGTCTGACTCCAGGCTCCCTTCCAGTTATTTTCCGGTCAGGACTGAATTCTGACTTCATTTACTTTGCTACTCAAGTCTTTAGTTACAAGGAAAACTGGTAGCTCTGTTTTAATTATTACCTGATTATAGAAAAAAGATAATCACTACCAAAGAGTAAAATTAAAAGTTATATTTGGAGATGAATTTCAATTATGGTTGTCAACATATTGGGGGGAAAAAAAAAGGCAATTGGGAAAGCACTGGCAGTTTTCAGAAGTAAAATCAGAAAGTTCCACATAATGGGTCTCATTCTGAAGCTATGAGTCAGTGAAAAATCCCAGAAAAATCTATGGAGTTGAACATTAAAACAAACCCTGAAGTTTTTTGTCATTTTAAAAGTATCCTTTTTTCTGAAAAAATAAAGCTTTTTCTTAAATTTCTCCTTCATTCAAACGCAAAGCACACCAAAAGCAGCATTATCACTCGTTCAAACACAGTATGTGATGAAAGAAGAGAATACAATACCCGATTGCTATATCCTTTATCATCAAATCCACCAAAAATGTACAGCTTCCCATTAATGCTTGCCCCACAGCTTCCTGACATGGAGGTGGGTAACTCTCCTTCCATGAGGTGCATCGTCCTGCAATTTAGCACATACATTAAGGCTCACAATGCTGCTTTGGAACCCGTTAAAATTAACAACCCCAAACCAGATGTGTTCATAATTTTTACACTTAATCCTAAAAATACAGTTGCAGCGTTTTGGCCATAACTAGCACTAGAAATGATGGCTGATATATGAAGTCAGGCTCCTGTGGTGTAAGAGGACTTCCATGTGAATATTGTGCGTATGTTTATGAAGCACCTTCATTTTTCGGAAGGTGAAGCCTCTATCAAAAGAGCATTAGTAGAGCTGAAACATGAATTATTCAAAACCTGGAAATCCTATTAACTCCAAAAATTCCTGAAATAAGAACGTGGTATTGCTGTTATTTGACAAATGGAAAACTGAGGCAGAAATGGAAATAAAGGTCAGAAGTACTCCCTAATTTTGGCAACAAATACACCACTCCTAAAACTGCATTTTGCACTGTATTTAGCATAATAAAAAATCTTCAATAATTCTCTGGAAGTTCTCTGTTCTTCAGCCGCAGCAGCTCCCAGCCGTGTCCTTGCTAGTCCCACTCACAAACCAGTAGCTTCCCATGATGGGAATTCTAACATGACACCATCTCAAGCACTACACGACACCCGATGAAGCTCAGTTTCTGCTGAGCTCACGAGGCTGAGCATCAGGCCAAGGCTGCACTTCGAATCATCACTCCACACTGGAAACAGCTTTCCCAGGATCCCAAATTTCTACAGAAGGTAGGGACCTGTGCTTCCCTCTCACGCATACATGCACAGAGGATGGGATTTATTTAGGATTCCCACCTCGTGGCCACACCTTCAGTCTCTCTAGATTTAGCAGCCAACTCCCAGTCTCTCTGTGCTGGCACTCCAACCCCAACTTGTCCCAGCTTTGCTGCCAACATCTGCTTTGCTTTCACCCCACGGTTTCTGATTGAAGCTTCCTTCCCCTGCTGTCCCTGTTCCTTTTTTTCAGCTCTCCACCTGGCTCTGTGCCTTCCAACCGGGGCCTTAGCCCAGTCTCCCTGCTCAGGCATGGTCTCCCACCTTCAAAGTCTGATTCCACTTTTTCTTCTCTCTGCTAGGTCTAATATCACCACACTACTTGACCTATAGAATCACAGAATCACAGAGTGGTTTGGGTTGAAAGGGACCTCAAAGATCATCCAGTTCCAACCCCCCTTCCATGGGCAAGGACACCCTCCACTACACCAGGTTGCCCAAAGCCTCATCCAACCTGGCCTGGAACACTTCCAGGGATGGTGCAGCCACAGCTTCTCTGGGCAACCTGTTCCAGTGCCTCACCACCCTCAGAGTGAAAAATTTCTTCCTTAGATCTAATCTAAATCTGCCCTCTTTCAGTTTTAGATTAGTTTTAGATCGACCTAGTCAATTCCATTCATTCCCTTCTTTGATACCTCCACATCGAGATCAAATGCCTTCACTGTCCATCACTGATGGCCCTACAGAAGAAAAGGATTCTTACAGCTTTGACCTCATCCCAACCTAAAATAACTAGAGGCAGCCTTTAAAAGGAGAAGCTTTTTATGTGCTAAATCACCAGATGTGAACAATGCAGGTGAAACGTGTCCCTACTGAAATGTCGCTCTCACACAGCTGCGCAGGGCGCTGCTGCCAAATACCTTTGCTCTGGCACCAGCACTGCCACAGACCAGCCCACCTTCCCCTTTCTCTGCCCTTGTGCTCCCATTCCTGCTTGCTCCCGTGTCATGTGGAGCACTCAGCTGTGTGTGTACAACTGTCTGTGCTGTAAACTGAATGAGATCAAGAAGAGATCCAGGTTAAAAATAACCCCTGGAAAAAGAAAAGTTATATTTAACCCAGATCACTTTTCTGATCCAATTTCCCCTGTGACCACATAAACAGCTGTACCAGGACAACCGACACAGGGATATCAGGGGTGAACAACAAGAGAGAGTATGAGGCTGCTTTAGCCAACTCTTTCACCAAACGAAACAAACAGCAAACCACAGCCTCAGCGAGGGCACGATCCTTAGAAAAAAAAAAAAAACACGAAAAAAAAGACTTGCCAGAACTTCACAGCTAACCATATGCAAACTGTCAGTGACATGACCACACAGACGTGGAATTTCATACATAGAATCCCGGAATAGTTTGGGTTGGAAGGGACCTCAAAGATCATCCAGTTCCAACCCCCCTGCCATGGGCAGGGACACCCTCCACTACACCAGGTTGCCCAAAGCCTCATCCAACCTGGCCTTGAATGCTTCCAGGGATGGGGCAGCCACAACTTCTCTGGGCAACCTGTGCCAGTGCCTCACCACCCTCGGAGTGAAAAATTTCCTCCTTAGATCTCATCTAAATCTCCCCTCTTTCAGTTTAAACCCATCACCCCTTGTCCTATCACTACATGCCCTTGTAAAAAAGTCCCTCTCCAGCTTTCCTGCAGGCCCCTTACTATAACACACCTTCCTGATTTGCCCTACTTCCCCTTCCCCTCCATTTCAAATTGTTGCTTTGAATACGGGTATGCAATGAACCTCTTGAATACGAGTATGCAAGAAATCTATAAACAGGTGGGAGACTAGAAAGACAGCTGGCAGAAAACACACATAAGCCCAAATGGATACAATAAGTATTTGCATTTAGTCTGGCAAAGTAGTAATAGAAATCACTGGAGAACTTTAACAAGAGGCGTTGTTACCTCTCCCCACATATGATATGCAAACACGTGGAGAGGGACTTTTCACAAGGGCATGTAGTGACAGGACAAGGGGCAATGGATTTAAACTGAAAGAGGGGAGATTTACATTAGATCTAAGGAAGAAATTTTTCACTCTGAGGGTGGTGAGGCACTGGAACAGGTCGCCTAGAGAAACTGTGGCTGCCCCATCCCTGGCAGTGTTCAAGGCCAGGTTGGATGAGGCTTTGGGCAACCTGGTGTAGGGGAGGGTGTCCCTGCCCATGGCAGGGGGGTTGAAACCGGATGATCTTTGAGGCCCTTTCCAACCCAAACCATTCTAGGATTCTATGATAACAAATATAAAACGTAAAGATTTACTTGCTAGTAACGTGCAAGATCTGGTTTGTTCCAAGTTATTTATGCAAATACACTCGCAATACAATTAAGTAATAACAAAAAGTATATAATTGTAAATAGATCAAGAATCCAAATATCCAGTGTTTAAATATTCCTTTTAACATCGAAGCTAATGTATGGAGAACTAAGCCAAAACAAATACAGATTTAAAACACGCCTGTTTTAACAACAGAGCCTTAAGCCGACCACTTCAAATATCCTCTGGAAAAAAACAATGGTACTTAAGGAATTAATGTGTTTCCTAGAGCAATTTGCAAGTACATTTGTCTGTTGTTCAGTCTTCACATTAAACATCTGCTGTTTAAACTCCAGGGAACATGCCCAATAACTCGTGTAATCCAAGTAAGTCTTTTCACTGCAGCTAATTGTAATCTATGCAAAGATCAACTTTATATATTAATTAAATACAAATTATGCAACTTACCATAACCCACTATCTATTTCATAGATCCAGAGCTCATCATTAGGCAGATAAACTTCATTCTCTTCAATTGACTAAAACCACAAGAAAATTTGCAAATGTTAAATCAATTACGCGTTACACACCATACGTTTTGAAATGAAATACCAAATCATGTTACTTGGCAACGTGGAATAATCTTCAGGAGATAATCTACCAGAGCATAAGTCATACCCCAGCTCTGATCGTTACAGTTTTAAACAGGCAGCTCGAGAATGCTAATATTTCACATTTTATACTAGAAATTAAAAAAAAAAATGTTTTTCTTTTTTGAAGCTATTAAAAATACTGTGCTAGGCGTGTCCTAATGTCATCAAGCTTTGTTGATTGTTAATAGCATCTTTCATCACTCACTTTAAGGTGTGAACATTATAAAAAACAAGTTTGGTGTATCAGAGGTAGGGACAGAAATGTTTCAGTATTCAGAAAGCAATATGACCATAATAATTTGTAAATTTGTAAAAATAAATATGAACATAATAATTTGTAAGTTTGTAAAAATAAGAAAACAGCACAGGCAAACAATTAAGTCATTAGGAAACACACACAACTGCTACCAACGGTACCATAACATCACCACGGATTTAAAAAACCCAAAAATCTTAAGAGGGGCTGTCAAAGATGCTTCCCTCCTCTGTTAAAATGCTGTTACTAAAGGGAGTATTTTTTCAGCCACTGATGTGGTCACTCTGAACAAATTTTGCTGCACTGTTAGTCTTCACACCTCCAAATACAGAACGTCAAGGATGAGCACCAAAGTGTTAATGTAGTTCTTAGGGTTTTTTTGCATCTTGAAGGAAAAGAAGGTTCTCCTTCACCTGAAGCATTTTCCCCTCATTCCACAACCCCCTTCTGTCTTTTCCAGAAACTGAGACTTTGTGTAGATGGGTAAAGAACCCAACAACTAAATAGAAAGTCAGAAAAAAGTACTAATGTTAAAAACAAGTAATTTAATTCCTCAGGCCCACTCATTAAAGGCACAGATTGACCAATGTAACCTTTTCCCAAGAAAGATGGGTAACAACACAAACCAGACCAGATTTGAAGCTCCTGAATGAAAACTGATTATCTTTTTTTGGGGGAGATACTTTGAATTAGGAGGCAATTCTTGGCATAATGGAAAATCATAGAGAAAAGTGTAACTGAAAAGCACAAAAAGACTGAAGCACAGCAGCGACTGAAGGGAGGAACTTGAAAGAACAAAGTGTCAAATATAAAAGAGCTTAACCTATCCTATAACATGAAGGAGAAAATTAATTCCTGTGTGGAAAATAGATCTATGAAGACTCCCAAACAGAGGCCATGTAAGAAAGAAAAATAATTTGGGAAAGAACGATGAGGAAGAATAACAAAGAGGAGAAGGAAGTCCAAAAGAATGCAATTGCAGCACTCGGGCTGAGTAACAATTACACTATTAATTATTGTCTTAGCTTTAGAAAGAAATGAAAGACACTGAGGGAGTAAGCAGCCGGAGTCAGTGAATAAAGAAAAAATAGATCAAAAGTAAATGAATGTGAGGAAAAGGAGTTAAATACAAAACTGAAATGTAATTATTAAGGATTTAGTTCCTGATATTGATTACTCGCTTTTAAATGCTACTTTATCATTACCTTCTCAATTTGAAAGGTGCCAACCAGGCACGTACACGCTAGGTTTGGTACGCTTTGTCCTGCCAGGGCCCATTCGTAAGGCAGGCTCTGCTGTGACGTGCAGCTTGCAGCTTTCTGCCCAATTTAATCGAGATACGGCAGCGGCCAGAGGCTGAGCAATTGCTGCAGAACCAGCTCTGAGCAAATACACCAATGCCAAAAGTAAGTTAGCTGGGAAGGAGTCATAGAATCATAGAACCATGGAATGGTTAGGGTTGGAAGGGACCTCAAAGATCATCCAGTTCCAAGCCCCCTGCCACGGGCAGGGACACCCTCCACTACACCAGGTTGCCCAAAGCCTCATCCAGCCTGGCCTTGAACAATTCCAGGGATGGGGCAGCCACAACTTCTCTGGGCAACCTGTTCCAGTGCCTCACCTCCCTCGGAGTGAAAAATTTCTTCCCTATATCTAATCTAAATCTCCCCTCTTTCAGTTTAAAGCCATTGCCCCGTGTCCTGTCACTACATGCCCTTGGAAAAAGTCCCTCTCCAGCTTTCCTGTAGGCCCCCTTTAAGCACTGGAAAGCTGCTATAAGATCACCCAGTGTCCACCATCAACACGTAAAATGTAAAAACGTGAAATGATTTACCTGTGTAAAGTGCTGCTTAAGGAGTGACAATGATTTTTTCATCATTCTCTCCACAAACAAGTATGTAAAAACTACTAAAAACATTTGCAAAGTTTATCTGCTAAACTTAACACACATTGCCCATTTTGACTGTGCCACGAACCCAGAATCCTTTATTAGAAAACATTTAAAAACACTGCACTAGCCAGTCCAACTTTAGTTTTTGAAAAACAAAGCATAGAGAACTACTGTGTATTACCAGTGATTTAAGTGTTGCACAGTTACACAGAGTATTATGGAGTTTAAGGCCAGAAAAGGACAGTAAATCTTCCTGTACATCACAGACAACTCACGTTATTTAAATACACGGCTTATACTAAAGGTGGCTAACTTTTTGAAACTACAAAATACGCATTCAAATCCTTACATGACTTGCAGCCACAAGAAATACCACCCACCAAAAACCCCCAAAAGGAAGAAAAGCTGTGGGAATAGTTTACAGGCTCCTGAGGGTTCTTCTGCTTCATGAGTTTGGTATTGGGCAAGCCTGGCCATGCATCAGGCTAGTGAAGGCATGCCAGGGTAGCCCAGACAGTGAAACCCTGCTGCCTTGCCTCCTGCCACAGCAGAGGGCTTGCATTTCAGTGCACAGGACTTGTTTGTATTTTCAGTATTTCAGTAGCCATCAGCAACACAACCCTTTCCAAGTGAAACGAGTCGAGCTCAGGGGCAGAGCAACTCCTCAAATTCCACAAGCTGCCCAGCTCTACCCCAACTTTTAAGTCCAACATTTTTAGTTGTAGAAAAATAAATAATTCCAATTTCTAGGAATTAAACTCTAATGTGCTCTAGGAAGAGACAACTAGCCACTAGTACCTGAGAGCCCTAGAAACGTCCTTCCCTCTGCTATTGCACACACTCCTAATGTATTTTCAATTTTAAATCCAGCGAGTCCCCAACTAGAATTCTTTGCTTCAATACAGAAGGACAAGCTCTGCACATTTGAAAGTTTACCTTAGCCCATGAAAAATACAGATAGAATATGGAATATGTTAATAAAAACAAGTTTTTATTCTGATTAAGACCAGGAATACCAAGCACAGCTACGTGCACATTTTAGGGCCAACACGCACAGATGCTATGGATAAATGAACTGGCTGTATTTAATGTAGTATCACTTATAGCTCTCTTTTGGACTGAATTAATCCAGAGCTAAGAGTCACAAGGATTTACTTATGCCAGAACCAGAACCGATCTTTAAATTGAAAAAAAAAAAAAAAAGAAGCCAGATGCTTTAAGTCTGCCACCAGCTTGGTTTTGAAGCGAAAGAACTGCTTTCTGAGGGAGGAAAACACACTGTGCATAACATACACCGACTAACAAGTAAAAAACGCAGGGACTCGGGAACAAGAACACGAATTACGCACTGGAAAAACAGCCGCAAATTACAGCCGTCACCCGGCAGAGGAAAGGAGAGGAGAGAAACACTCCCAGAGCACAGAGAAACCACACGTTTGTAGGAGAGGGGAAGCAAACTGGCTCCACCAGCCTCCTCCATGCTCCGTGATGGGGGCAGCTGAAAAGAGAGCAGCAGACGGTGGGTGCCGGTCAGAGGCACCTATGCTCAGGGAATCACAGAATGTCAGGGACTGGAAGGGACCTCAAAGGATCACTCAGTCCAATCCCCCTGCCGGAGCAGGACCACCTAGATCACATCACACAAGAAGGCGTCCAGGCGGGTTTGGAACATCTCTAGAGAAGGAGACTCCACAGCCTCTCTGGGCAGCCTGTTCCAGTGTTCTGGTACCCTTCCTGGGAAGTTCTTCCTCATGTTTAAGCGGAACCTCCTGTGTTCCAGCTTATCTCCATTTCCCCTTGTCCTATCATTGGATGCCAGTGAGAAGAGCCTGGCTCCATCCTCATGACAGTCACCCTTTCCATATTTATAAACATTAATGAGGTCCCCCCTCAGTCTCCTCTTCTCCAAGCTAAAGAGACCCAGCTCCCTCAGCCTTTCCTCATAAGGGAGCTGCTCCACTCCCTTCATCATCTTTGCAGCCCTGCGCTGGACTCTCTCCAGCAGTTCCTTGTCCTTCTTGAACTGAGGGGCCCAGAACTGGACACAATATTCCAGAAGCGGCCTCACCAGGGCAGAGCAGAGGGGGAAGGCAAGGAGGAGGCAAACAGAGGGGAGGAAAGCAGCGCACAGGGGACACCCCCCACCTCCCCTTCGCGCCCTTCTCCTCAGAAGGGAGA